CCTGCGGCCCTCTGGGAAATGTAGTTTCAGTCGTCTCCTCCGCACAGACTGAGCAGAGCTTTCTGGTAGTCTCCTTTAGTGTGCTCCTAAACACAAACGCACACACAAAATTATCCATCGGTAATAAACACAAAAATGCCCTCTCTGTGGTGTGTTCGATGCCCTCCGTGTGTGTGGGATATTGCAGGACTCACAGTGATGGTCTGGTACAGCGACTTCTTGAAATGCTTCTTGAACTGTGTTCTGATCTTGATCAGGTCGACTTCACAGCGAGAAACGATGATCCTGGTCACCACCTTCTCCTTCGCTCCTTTACTCTGAGACACAAAATGTCAGCATGGACGGAGAAGGAGGAGGTGTTATGTTTTGTTCCAGGTGGAAACGTTGGACGGAAACGTGGGAAACTCACCTTCATGGCTTCATTGAGTCTGCTGGCGAAGTACAGCTGCCTGTTTTCAAAGCACTCCACTGTGGACAAACGATACACACCTGCTTAATGTGTCCTGTCCCCGTGAAGTAGAATTTCACTCTTACTTTGTTCTGATGGCGTCTATTTCTTTTAGCATGTGGCTGAAAATGAAAACGAGACTTGCCCTCGTGCTCGGTTTCCCCGTTAAACCGGGTCTAAATCTGTGACTTGGATATTTGATGTTTCTTAGACGTACCCAGAGTGAGGAAGGACTTCTCCAGATCTCCCTTCACCTCCTTCCTGATGCTCTCCTTCATGTCGTAGGGGCTGTAGCTCTTATACCTCTCAAACACTGACACACAACACATACATTAAACGTAAGACTTTCCTCCATATTATTTGTACATTTGTTGGTTTCATGGGTCTTATTTTGTAGGTTTCATTACATTTCCTGTTGTTTAGTATTTCATTTCATCTGTTCTGCTTATATTTATAGTTCTCGTGTTTTCTGGCCTGTTGTTGGCGTCGTTTGCCTTTTTGTTTTGTTTTTATTGCTCTTAGTTATTGACTGAGTTTTACATTAGCACTGTAATGTGCTGTCTGTATAAATAAAGCTTTGTTGCATCAGTGTTGAGGATGCAGTTCACCTTTCTGCAGGTGGGGGACGCTTCTCTGGGACATGATTTCGATCCAGGTCACCACGTCGGTTCCCTTCCTCTTCACTCCGGCTTCATACAGAGCCTGGGAGGTTCACGCAGGAGGACGGTTTAATGAAGAAATTGTGAAAAAAAAAGTCAGGTTTACATAAAAAAACAGAAAAAGCACATGTACAAAACTAACAGTTACACCTCTGAATAGATTATCCCCTCAGAGGACACCAAACTTTGCTTTTTGTAATCATGTCCTGTAAGCTTTAACTTTCACCACCAGGGGGCACCGAGATGTTTTCAGACACGTTGCACATTCATGCCATCG